TATATAATAATATATTATATATATTTATATCTAAGTTTAAATCATAACATCTCGTGTGGTAATGTGGTTAATCCCTTATTTTGTATATATTTGGTCCAGGTTTGAATCTCACACTTTACATCTATTTTTTTCAATTTAATTTTAACGAGCCAATTTCGAGCCGAACACGAGCCAAACACGAGCCGAATATTTAAATCGAGCCAAACACGAACACACTGTTTACGAACCAATTTCGAACACGAGCCGATTTCGAACACGAGCTATTTCGAACGAGCCGAACATGAGCCTAGCCTGAGCTCGCTCAGGCTCGGCTCGTTTACAGCCCCATTTGTAGGGCCAGTTTCAGAAAACTGGCTCCATACTGTATTCCGATGTCAGAATTTTCAGAAAAATGCAATTAATTCAACAAATAATCCCATAAAGACAAAATAATACAAGAGGAGAATATCTTACAATCTGAACGTGACCATCCTAGCTTTAAATTTTCTCTGTCAAAGACCATATGATATCCTGTCATAAAATTTTCTGCACAGTTTTAGATAATTTAGTCAGTAAAAACATAAGTGAGATGAAATTAAGTGCCAAAGGAGTTCAAAATAGGAGACTTCAGTCAGAAATTGGTATTAAGGATTAATAAGGATACTCACGGCCAATTGTTCCTATACTTTCTGCTGTAGATTGCAGAGCGATACAAAATCCAGCCAAATCATGCCCCTATAACAAGCATGATTTATATCATTTGATCGGCACTTAAAAACTGGCCTGTATCAATTTTTTCAAGAAAAAAAAACTTCACAAGTATATAGATGAATGCCTCGGAATACATAGACTACTTATAAATACAAAAAATAAGACAAATTTTCATGTTGCAAGAGGTGTAGAACAGAGCTTTAAGAGAACTCGGGGCCTCATCATTCATGTTTCAAGTAAGGCTGCTGCCTTCGCAATTAAAACATTAGTTTTAGGATAACTAAATATTCCCAAATTTCTAATATGATATTTTATTGAAAAGTTAAACCATCATATAAGGAACAAACACACAAACATGGTTATTGAATTCGGGGCTTTTAAACTATTTTGTTTATGATAAATGCAGATTCAAAGTTTTCAACACAAAAATAAAAGCTAACTAGTCCGAGCGATGACTATAATTAATTGTTCAGAGAATAAGTAAACTATCAAGGCAACAATATACATACATCTTTGTCATAAATTGAGAAGATAGGATTGATAACTTCGAAACTCTTATTCACCGAAAGAGTTAATGAGATAGCTGGAATCTGAGGCACCTCAAGTGCACTGTTTTCATAAGAAACAAAAAACCAAAAAAAAAAAAAAAAAACACTAAAATCAGCAGCAACTAAAACCATATCCTATATATGGCTTCTTGTCATCAGTTATTATAAATCAGCAATGAAACTATAAAACAAAGACTTATCAGCATGGGACTAACTTGGCAGTGTAGCAGTATTCCCAGGGTGAATCATCAAAATCTAACCTTGAAGCATTAATTTGCCTGTCAAACTAATTTCAGAACAGAAATTAACTTTCAGAGAAACAGAAATGGTGGAATGATTGCAGAAAAAGCATACCTCCAGAGTAACTTTCTTGTATACTTCTTCAGGTAGAAATGTGAAAGAAGAACCGCTGTCAACTAGTGCTTGCAAGTTAGTTTTCCCAAAACACCAAGCTCCAACACAGAATTTTTCCACTTCGATAATATAGGTAATACTGCAAAAAAAGGATTATTGTGAAACTATTATAATGCTTCATCATTGGAAAGTAATATAGATAATTGCAATTATACTGAAAATCTGAAAGTACAAATTAATGCCATTACTAACAACGAATTATTGCACAATAAACCGAGGTAATGCAGTTAGGATGGCAAGGAAATTCAAAATAAAAAATAAAGATGCATTGAGAATCTGCGATTGAAAATTTTTATGAATATCCATACCATTTGCACTAGCACAAGTTATTAGGATAGAAGATCTCTCTCCTTTATTTATTTATTTTTTTTATTTTTTTATTTTTTGGTGAGCATAATGATTTTGATACCGTTCTAGAGCTCCTAGAAGATGTTTAAGAATACAAAAAAATGTTGGAGAGGTTGGAGGAAGGGTAATGCAATAGGGAGGATGGATGGTGGCTGAACAATGCGAATGACTGAGATAGAGAATCTAAACAAAAATCACCAGTTTTCATGCTGATAACAGCAGTTAGCTGCACATTGGACAATGAATGAAGTCTTTAAATGTCCAGGAGAGATCATCACTTTGATTCTATTAAGCTTCAAACACACCACCAGAAAGAAATTCAAAGATACAACAGTCAGAAGAAAACATCTCCAATTAACATAAAATCATACAAAATTTGCAACAAAATAGAAAATTCAATATATATAAATAGTCCCTTGTTATAAAGAAATCCTAATTCTAATAAAATAACATAAAGGTTGGCCCACAATCGCCTAGCGATGACAGTTTAGCGGGAGAATCCCGCTAGATCAATTACGAGATAGAAATCCCATCTCCCAAGCGTATCAGGTTTGCGGGATCGCGAAAACCCAATTTCCAATTTAGGAGTCTATATGGATCGCAGTATCTAATTATTCTGCGGTTGCAAAATTGATCGTGGTCTCGTGTTTCTAGAGGGTTCCGTGATAACGCAAAAGAGTTACTTGACATCAACGTCATTCTTCTCAAGTATGAGGAGCTTCTTCTTATTCTCTAGAAGCTTCTAGAATAAATCAACCACCATCATAACAAAGAATGTATTGTTTTGTCGGATACAATCCCACTACAAAATCAATGTTCACATCAACTTTATGCAACTCTAAAAGACATGCGTCATTCAGAAGTACGTCCTGATAGAATAAATAGGCATCCTTCTTTGGCATAATCAAATTTGGAGTTGCATCTAAGCTAATACTCTCATGAACCAAGCCTTTAATCATCAAGGGTGTAACCTTTTTTTCATCTTCTCATACTCGGTTGCATACCATAGGCGAGTTAATTTGGTGGGAAAACTCATGGAATGAGGTCTATGACATGTTGACTCACTCTCGGTGGTAACCACTCATGAGATAAACCAGCAGTTGAGGCATCTGATAACTCCCTCAACAAATATTATATCTTTTATGGTATCATCTCCCCAGACTCACCACCTTCTAAAACAACCAATGTTAATCTTGTTTGAGTCTCTCCCAAGGGCTTAGCTTGACTCACTGAGATCTCTTCCTCGTCAGCTAGAAGTTAAGATTTCTCTCCGGCTTCTGCATTCTTTCATGTGTCACTATCAAATTCTTCAATTGCTCCCTACTTTGTGAAGAGAACACCCTCCTGATTAGGCAATTAGACGTCACGTGGCCAAAGACATGACAATTGAAGCATTTATTGGCTGAGATGAATTTGAAGGTGCTAGTGGAATCCAATTTTTTCCCTACTCTTGATTGATTTCTCTTCAGATGGGGTCAACATAGATGCTCCATAGGGTGTATCATGGTTGCTCGATCCAATGGTTGAACCCTATTTGAAGAGTGGTGTGGAGCTGATAATATTGTGTTTTCTCTGCACCTTCAAGACTAAGATCTGAACATTTTGTAATGTCCAATAACGTTGCAACAATACTACAATCCCAATGGACGATCTCAATCCCCTCTGATAACAAGCTATGATGTTCTCCTCAAACTCCAATAACCCGCACTTTAACATAAACTGCTTGAACACAGTTGTGTACTCTTTTACTGAGATATTTTATTTCATTAAGTGGTGAAGTCTCAAGAACGTGTCTTGTCAATAATGAACTAGTAGGTACTTGCGTTGCAGCTCTTATTTTATCTTAAGATGATATGGTGATTTTACTTTTCCCTTCTTGTTGTTGAAGAATCTTCAAGTTCTCCCATAACAATGAAGTGTTTCTCATGAGCTGGATGGATGTCAGTTTAACTCTTTTATCCCGGGGAACATCTTTGTACTTAAAAAATCTATTTCATTGCTTGGACCTCCTTGATAAATTCATCTACATCCATGCGATCGTCAATATCCGATAGTTTCACTCCAAAAACCTAGTTTCTCCTCTACAATTTCACGTCGAATCATCAAGGTAGTAATTCTTTGTTATAGAAAATGTCAGGTGAAAAGGATTCACTTCTTCCTCTCGATTTGACAAGTCACCATTGTAGCTATAGAAGAACTCACCTAATTGTCTCCCTCTCAAAGGCGACGAGCATTTGCTGCAGTTGGAAAATATTTCATTATATATACTTCGCATTAAATTTTTGGACACCTCACTTAGGGTTTTTCCTTAGCGGCATGACGTCCTTTCCTCCTGATCAGATTTACGACGGATGAAGGATTGCCAATCAAGCTTGATCGGAGCTTAGGTTTTGATGTAGGTGTTAGGGTGAAATTTTGGTTGCGATAGAAAGGCTGGATTTACTAATTGTTAGTCTAGGGCTGAGAATTGAAATAGAAATGATTTGGGTATGGTGATTTTTTTTTTTAATGACAAGAAAGACAAATCCCCAAATTTTTAATGTTTGTCGGGCTCTAATACTAGATGATACCGTTCTAGAACTCCTAGAAGGTATTTAGGAATACAAAAATGCGTTAGGGAAGTTGGAGAAAGGGTAACGAGATAAGGAGAATGGATGGCAGCTAAAATTTTGACGCAGCTGACAGTTGTACAGCAAATCAGAACAAAAATTAGTTGTTTTCCTACTGCGAACAGCAGTTTGCTGCACATTAGATGACGAAGGTCTTTGAACATTAGGAGAGATCACTATTTTAATCCTATCAGGCTACAGACACAACACCTGAAAGAAATACGACGATAGAACACTCTGATAGAAAAAATTAAGAGAAAATATATCCAAATAACATAACAATACATAAAAGCCAAAATAGAAAATACAAAATAAAAATATCCCCCTACTATAAAAAAACCCTAATGCTAATAAAATAATAAAAAAGGTAGGCCCACAGTGGCCTAGCGGTGGCAGATCAGCGGGAGAATCACGCTTGCTCAATTACGGGATAGAAACCACGTCTCCCAAGTGTATCAAATTTGTGGGATTGCGGAAACCCAATTTCCAGTTCAGGAGCATGTAGGAATCGTGGTATCCAATTATTCTATGATTGTAGAATTGATCACAGCCTTCCATTTCTGCAGGGTTCCGAGATATCGCAAAAAAGTTGCTTGACGTCGGCATCAGCATAATGAGTGAATATACTATAAAAAATAAAAAAAAAATATTCCTGGGGTGATTCTTGAACAAAAAAATTTCAAAGGCCAAAACTCACGCCCCTCATGAAAAAATAAAATCCAGGAGCAATGGCAAGTTCAAAATCCAAGGGTAGTAATTCATTGAAATTTATAATGCACCAAAAAAAAAGCTAATGCGTATATGACAAATTAATTTGAACTTCAAGGATCATTTTAAGTAACTTACTATTTTCCATCCAATGCGACAAATGAAGTGGTATGTTGAGTGGAGACCCCTTGATCGCCAAAAAATATTCTACCAGAATCATCACCTTTAAAGCACATGGAAAATGAATTTCGCACAAATCCAGCCTTAGCCAAGAGGCTAGGAACAGAAATTTCACCAAATCCCAATCCAAGAAGACCATCAGGAGCAATACCAGCTAAATAACCACCACTTTGCTTTCTTCCACACCTGAATTTTTTAGAAGAAAACAAACCAGTTGATTCGATATAAGATTAGATAGGCATCATTAAAATAGTTCTTTACAAATTAAATGAGTGAAGCGTCAAAATAGTCCCTTGACTATTACATGGGGTCTGTTTAGTCCCTGGGTCGATAGAAGTGCCAAATTAATTATCATACTCTTTCAATAGGGCTGAAAAAGTCCCAAACAACGGACTATTTTTGCCCTCATTAAAAAGGTATGGGAACTAAAATAACACTTTTATGTACTTTTGGACTAAAATAGGTCCCTATAATGAGTCAGCGGATCATTTTGACACTTTTTCCAAATTAAAACCTCAATGATAAAACCCACCCAAAAATCACAGGCGCTTGTATTGATACATGACCAATAGAATTTGTCAAATACATGGTATCCTCTACTAGTAAGCCAGATGTAGACGTATTTTCTGAATAGTAGTTAACAGTATAAGGACACGGTTGCTTCGAGCTTCTGCAACTACCGCCCAATGCACATAGCTCGTGACTACATGAAAGATGTTTGCTCGTTTTTGATTCGTCTGGATTATACATACCAAGCTCTTTATCCTGCATAATAAATGCCCCAAAAACCAGGGAGCACCTGCCAATCAATCATTGGAAATAAGTTCTGAAACAACAGTGAAATTTCAGTAGAACAGCCTCCTTATCTTTGTTTGTAATGGTAAGAAACCTGGAAATAAAGTAATTCATCCTGCCATTTTTCATTCCAGATACTAAATACGTTGAAGGAAGATTTACATATATACAACTTAATTCCTATGAATTTACATATCTAACACTTAAACTTAAATTTTTACAAATACGCCACCTTACCTATGCATGAAAAAATACATTTCACTTTTTAAAGGTTAAAATAGTGATATTTTTTATGTGATATATAAGATTGTCGGGTATAAAAGTAAAAAAGTAATGTTTAGATGTTAGATATGTAAGGAATTGTGTGGTATGTATGGAAATGCCCCAAATTTGAAAGATATATCAACGCATTCCATAGTGTTGCTGACTTCTAACCAGGAATTGTCTCAATTAACATTTTTAAAGGGTAGCAGACAAATGAATCAGTAAATTGTAGGAAAGTGTAATCTTACCAGTTGATGTGTGGATCCCAATAAGGCACATTAAAGAATAATGTGCTTTACTGGGAAAAGCCGGCAAATAAATGACCAAATTTCTGTTTGTTTCAGCTAAAAAGTTGATCCGATGGCCTTCTGGGGGTTTTATCCAGATAGCAAATTCATTCTAGAAAAGGAAGGAAAATTTGATAGAACCCTCACAACCGAAAAGTGCAGGACTCCCAAAGGAGGGCAACTTCCAATGAATGATATGACGAAGAAGAACGGCAGAAGATAGCATGAAAAAGACATGGCAACGAGGCAGAAGGACATTCATGTGAATATTGAGTAGAGAGAGAAACATAGCAAGGGAAATAAGTAATTTTAAGCAAACTAGGGGTTTGTTTTGAATTGTACAGGAGTCTTAGCTTGACAAGTTAATGGAGAAAAGGAGGTGAATAAGATTTATAAACTTAGATAGTGTTGAAGTGAAATTTTCATATAATTTTTTAATTAAAAAATCCCTTTTTCTGTTCATATTCTCCTCTCCATCCTACTTTTCTGAGGATGCCGTCAAGGCCAACATTGCTTGGAAAATAGAGACCTAATGAAAATAATAATTACAGTTTATTTAGTTGCAAGATGCTACAAGTTGCTAAATGAGTGATGTTTTCGGAAAGTATAATTGCATAAACCTGCATACTGTATACTTGCAAAAATAAAAGATTAATAAAAATGTTGTGTTCTTATTTTTTACTCTTTGTTCATATGCAACTAGAGAATTTAGCTAATTTCGCACTAAAAGCCTACACTTCTACTGCAATGCAAATTGCTTGCCAGAACATGATTTCACAAAATATTTGTTCAAAGAAGGATGAGTTTATATAATCTGCAATTTTTTCCATGAGAAGGCCTTTTGCAGAATATACACACCAAGGAATCAATTTCATCTTTTAAGGAAAAGGTTGAATCCAGTTAACAACTTATAAATGCTTCCATAACCCTACCTGTATAAAAATGCTGCTATAATTGGCAAATTCTTTTGTTATTCGATCGGAAAAAATCATATAAGAAAGCATAAACCAAATCCTAAACAGTTAAGACAAGGCTAATGATGATAATTCAATAAAGTTTGAAGACCATTAGCAAACTTTGCAACATATTCAATTTGTAATGCCTGGCAATTGCTAAACACATTATGCATTCTCCTTTTTATATAATATTGAGCATGATCATATTATTCAAAAAGAACAATCAACATTTGAAGATAACATGATGACTTTTACTACATAAAACTGCATTTAAGGAAATAAAAACTGAGTGAAGCAAAAATAAAATTTAAATCAAAATGGAAGACAAACATCAAAATATTAACTTCATATAAAGAAACAAAATAAATTATATCTTAATCATAACACAAATATAAAGCCTACCAAACTACCATGATAGCCAGATAGGGGAGCACATTGTATGCAATCACAAGGAACCCAGAACAAATCACTCCCAGCATCCAATGCCACTAAAAATGAAACATTTGGAGTGCCAACATCAACCCATGTGTAATGCAACCTGTAATCAAAATGAATAATAGATCAAGTTTGACTTTAAGATCACATCGGACAGTTATGCAGCAGCTGATAGAGAAGTATTGAACTTAAAAACCATTTTGAAGTTACGTGCAGACAAGAAAAAAAGTTGAAAGTATATCTCAGCTAAACAATCAAGATCATGCTCCCGAAATAAAGCACTCAACAATAAGATGGATTATATTTCATACAAGAGCCAAAGTAAATAAAATATATCAAAATAAAAAAAATTAAAAAGTGTGAAGTGAATAATTTATTAATCTATCATGTGAATTTATTGATTTTTAAAGTAGGAAATGGTTTTCAAAAATATAATGTACCGATGGTTAATATACAACTGTGATACCAGCTTCATTCTTAAAGGTAGGTAAAATGACCATACATATTTTTGGAAAAAAAATCTATTGAGAGCGGGAAAAATTATTAAACTTTTTAAATTATATAGAAAAATAATAAATTCTCTATTATTTATAGAGAAACCTCAAATTCCAGGGTGGGTTAAGCTTAACCAAATTACTTAATTCCACCACTGCTAATTAGCATTGCTTTGGTTGATAGTTAACATGACAACTCGTAATTTTGTTTATGAACATGAGAAGAGACAAATGATTATTTGCTTGGTCAAAAAATCTACATGTGATCAGCCACTTCAAAATAAAGGAAGCATGCCTGAAAATAGAGGCCTCTTAAAGATGAAAAATATCGGATAAACTAAAGTACTTATTGAAGAAATTTTATTAAAAATATAATTAATAGAAATTGTGTTGTGCCTATTTGATTTTCAGATATCGCTTGCGTAAAGTACAAGAGAATAATCGCTGCCCTAAAACATCAAAGTGCTTCAGTTTGTCACCCCTAACCAAGACTACAATCTCCTTTACCTAAAATTTGCTAGCTGGACCATTTCCTAGTACAAAGAGAATAGGGACTCCTTTCAAAAATCTAATTGTATACACACAAAACAAAATCACAACAAATTAAATAAAAACCCTTCAAATATGCTATAAAAAAACATGCTGCTAAACTCTGGAAATACCTTTTCATTAACTACAAGAAGGCTTTAATAATCTCTTAACCAGAACCACCTAAAGGCAACACATTGCTGGTACCTACAACTATCAATGGTTGCATTAAAAAAAGTATAAGCATAAATGCATAATATAGAGGCACCATCAAATTGAGTTTGAGTGTTAAACGGTTGGTTTGAAGTAGAATTTTTTTACTTCGGATTGACATGTAAAAAAAAAATCTCATAGCCAAAATGCAATTTAGAAATAATATGATTTTAGGCTGACTCAAAAGTTGATTGAGTTAGTTCAAACTTATTGATGCATAATTTAAATGATATTTTTTATTTAAACTTTTAAAAATTTGAAATTAAATAACATACAAACTATACACCAAACTTTTATTTTAAAAATAATATATAATCTTGAATAGAAGCAAATATTAAAAATTCTAAAAATTACAAACAACTATATGTGTGAAGGTGTTTCAATTTAAAAATTCTTCTTACATAATAATACATAACTCAAGGAGATTCAAATAATATTCAAGTGAGTAGATTTAGAATTCACTCAAGATTCAAAGCAGCTTTCAGCGAAAAATAAATTTTTAGTTTGGCTAAATAATTCCACCCTTAATGATACCGAATCATTAATGAAATGACAGAGCTCGCATATAAATATCTAAAGCCAAAAAATACTTCTTTTCCATGCTACCATAAAAAAACAGAAGATTCCCTCCAGACATTCCCTCAAGATAAACACCACTTCTTATTTCCACACCACATTGTAATGCTTATCACTGCCATTCTTCTAACAATAGCTAACAGTAGAATTCAATCAAACACAAACTTATCTCACATTAAATAGTACAGAGAACATATAATCATATTTATTCTTTAAGAAAAAGTAAAAATTAAACAATCACAAAAAGTTGCATTTACATGAATGCGTTCGTGTATGTATAGTATTCATATATGATACCATGTAATTCAAATTGATTCAAATCATAAATCCATTTTTTTCCAACAAATTTGGCCCATAATTTCACTCGAGATGGCTCTGGTAGATTTAGAATCTACTGAAAATTCAAGCAAAATTTCAGTGACCTCAAGCATTTGACTAATAATGCCACGATTAACAAAAGCAAAGCAATAACAAAACCAAATTTCAGCTTCAATTTCCAGAATGCAGAAGATCTCTCCCAACTACCCCTCCAACCAAAATTTTACTTCGTATAAAAACACATTATAAATTTCTTTAAATTCTCTCCCTACCAGTAAAAAAAAACAATATTCCAACAGAGATCAAAATAACGACCCGAATGAACTCACCATCCAAAATCATTTCCTAGAGAGAGAGTCTCGCTCCCCTCGGCTGGATACAGCATCGAATACCTAGCCCCACCAAGCCGCTGCCTCTGTCGGAGACGGTCACTCCTCACCAACACCTCATAATACTCCGGGCTGCGCCTAGCCGGCCACCGGCCACCGTCCCTCGCCGGCAC